CTCTATCTCCTCCTCCTCCTCCTCTCCTCTCCTCCTCCTCCTCCTCCTCCTCCTCCTCCTCCTCCTCCTCCTCCTCCTCCTCCTCCTCCTCCTCCTCCTCCCTCCTCCTCCTCCTCCTCCTCCTCCTCCTCCTCCTCCTCCTCCTCCTCCTCTCCTCCTCCTCCTCCTCCTCCCTCCTCCTCCTCCTCCTCCTCCTCCTCCTCCTCCTCCTCCTCCTCCTCCTCCTCCTCCTCCTCCTCCTCCTCCTCCTCCTCCTCCTCCTCCTCCTCCTCCTCCTCCTCCTCCTCCTCCTCCTCCTCCTCCTCCACCTCCTCCTCCTCCTCCTCCTCCTCCTCCTCCTCCTCCTTCCTTTTCTCCCGTAGCCATTTTGGCTCAAGTTCGAAACCTTGCCGCGAGGCTTCGAGCTTGTCCGCAGCTGTGCGGCAGGCTCGAGTCGCTGGCTGTGGCCACAGGGGATTTTGCAACCACGGCACTCCTGCAAGGGGTGTGTCTGCTGTTTCTCGTTCTTCCAGTTGTGTGCGCTCCCGCCGCCGCGATGTCGTGGCGCCAGCGCGCCCCCTGGCGTGGTGGCGGGCGCCGCAAGAACTCCCAGGGCCAGGGCAAGCAGCCGTATGTCTGCGGGGATTGCGGCCACTGGGAGTACAAGTCCTTCGGCAACTTCTGCTGCTCGAAGTGCGGGGGGAAATATCTCACGGCGAGCGTGCAGCACCCGCATGCGCCAATGATGACAATGCTGAGCTACGTGCCGCCGCCGCCCTTCTGCTCGCTGCGAAGCCCGAACTTCGAGATGGATTTGCTCTATCTGTTCAAGGTGAAGCCCCAGTTCAGCCTGAATGGTCTGCGGCACGCTTGCAAAATGCAGCCAGTGCTGAGCGCACCCGCCTCACCCGAGTTGTTGAAGATGCGGCGAAGGCAGTGCGCTTGGCATCCCAAGATGTACATCATCGCAAGACGAAGGTGCAGAAGCTCGAGGAACAGCTGGTCGAGGCGAGGGAGTTCCTGGCCACGGACACGGCTGCCCACGAGAAGGCTGCACAATGCAAACGCGACGCTGATGAGGCGCTCCAGAGCTTCAACAAGGAGGTTTGGATGGAGGAGAAGCGCAAGGATCAACGTCGTGCTCGAGAAGAAGCTCTTCTCTTGTGCTCGCGAAGAAGCTGAAGCTGCTCGAGGGCCTCCACAGGGAGCTGAGGTACATGGAGGGGGTTGCGAACATCGTGGTGGTCGTGAAGAGCCTTCTCCTGCTGGCGCTCGCGTGGATCCTGAGAGCATTCCCAACCTGGGCGACATGGACGAGGCCGCCATCCGTGCCTATGCCGTGGAGAAGGGCCTTCCTCTGGAACCCCTGCTACAGTTCCAGAAGATGTCCACGAAGCTTGCTCAGGACGTCGAGATGGATGCTGAAAGGGAGGCCAGTGCTTCACCGCGGGCTCCGCGTCCGTCATGGCGCGGCGGGCGGCACGCCTGGGCGTCGCCACGAGCGGCAGGGCGGACATGCCCCACTCCTTCGGGCGCAGACGCTTTCCTCCGCCTCCTCCTCCTCCTCATCCTCCTCCTCCTCCTCCTCCTCCTCCTCCTCCTCCTCCTCCTTCTCCTCCTCGTCGTCGTGATTGGCCTGTCCTCGTCCTCCGCCTCCTCCTGCTCCTCCTCCTCCTCCTCCTCCTCCTCCTCCTCCTCCCTCCTCCTCCTCCTCCTCCTCCTCCTCCTCCACCCTCCTCCTCCTTCTCCTTCTCCTCCTCCTCCTCCCTCCTCCCCTCCTCCTCCTCCTCCTCCTCCTCCTCCTCCTCCTCCTCCTCCTCCTCCTCCTCCTCCTACTTGTCCTCCTCCTCTTCGCCCTCCTCTTCCCCCTCCCGGAAGTCGTACGGTTCCGACTCCACCAGCAGGAGCGCCTGTGGCGGAGAAGAGCGACGACGGGGAGGAGACGGAGGAAGCCCAATGTGATTGGAATAAGCAGACCAAACAAAACCAAACATAGTCAAAACACCCCCCCCCCTCAAAAAAAACAACAAACAAACAAACAAACAGACAAACAAACAAACAAACAAACAAACAAACAAACAACAACAGCAGCAACAACAACAACGACAACAGCAGCAGCAACAACAACAACGCCAACAGCAACAACCACAACAGCAACAACAGCAAAAACAACAACAACAACAACAACAACAACAACAACAACAACAACAACAACAACAACAACAACAACAACAACCACAACAACAACAACAGCAAAAAAAAAAACTGGGACACGCTCAGCGCGGGAGGTTTCCGTGGCTGGATCGGACGACAGCTATTTTCTGCAACCCCTCACGCGCGAGAGGTGTCCCAAGAGGTTTGGTGTGTGTGTGGCTCTTTCCGATCACCTCGTGCTTTCTTGGAGCCTATCGGAGCCACTTGAAGGAAGCTACTGGAGGCCTTCCGGTAGCCTGTGGGTGCTGTTTTTTTCCATTCAACGAGGGCCTTCTGGGAGCATGCGAGGGCCGCTGCTGAAGGCTTTCCAGGACCCTCTGTTGAGGGATGAAAAAACGACCCTACCCTGGGTTACAAGTGCGTGGTCTGTAAACCTCCTGGGAAACCCCAAAGCCTAGAGCCGCCAGGACGCGGCACATCATGCAAGGTTTACCCTGTCAGCCCACAAGAGTTTCAGCGCACAGCGCCTCGTAAACCAGGGTAGGGGCGTTTTTTATGCCCTTGACTCTGGGGAGTGTCCTGGAGGCCCTCTGTGAGCCTGGGGAACTTCTTCAGGGCTTGCTGGCCGTGGGAGGGGGCGAGACGGGGACGGAAGGGGGGCCCCTCTTGGACCAGTTTGGACCGTCTTGGGGGCCTGGGCCGTCTTGGGGCCATGTTGGGGGTCTCGAGCCGTCTTGGAGCCCGCTTGGGGCTCTCGTGGGCAGCTCTTGGGGCCCTTGGGGCTGTCTTGGGAGGCACTTGGGGCTCTACTGGGCCGTCTGGAAGCTGTCTTGGGCCGTCCCGGGCCGCTCTTGGGCTGTCTTGGGGGCTCTCTCCGAGGCTTCTTGGGCCGTGTTGGAGCGATCTGGGAGAGCCATGGAGCCGTCTCGGGCTGTTCTGGGCCCGATATGGGGAGAACCCGAAAATTGCTCAAAACATCCAGAAGGTCTATGAGTTTGAACTCGCTGGGCCGTCATCGGAAGCTTCTGGGGCCGTCTTGGGAGCCTCCTGGCTTGCTCTAGGGCCGCCCTGAACTGCTGCAGGGCTCGCTTGGGGTCCTCTTGGGCCGTCTGGGTGCCCTCTTGAGCGGCTCTAAACTGTCTTGGACCGCCTTGGAGCCTGGTCACGGCCGTCCGGGGCCGTCCGACCGGTTGCCCCGGGAGCGCCAGCGACCGTCTAGGACCGCCCTGGGAGCGCTGAGAGCCGCCCTGGGCCGAGTTCCGCCGGTGCCATCTCGCACGCGCTGATCCCGTCAGCCATCGTGTCCGGCCTTTGCTTCTTGCTGCTTTCTTCTCTAGACTGCCTGCTGCTGCTGCTGCTTGTGAACAGTGCGCCTGCTTGGATTGGCTTGCTGCTTGCTCATTGCTTGCTTGCTGGCTTGATTGGTGCTTGCTGCTTGCTGCTTGCTTACTTGCTTGCTTACTTGCTTGCTTACTGGCTTACTGGATTGTTGCTTACTTTTTGCTGCTGCTTGCTTGCTTGCTTGCTTGCTTGCTTGCTTGCTTGCTTGCTTGCTTGCTTGCTTGCTTGATTGCTTGCTTGCTTGCTTGCTGCTGCTGCTTGATGCCGAAAATTATACTGGTGCTCTCATGGGCTGAATCTGGGCCTTCTCATGCTCTCTGTGGGGCTTCTTGGTCTACCTTGGAGCCTGGCTGGGCCTTCGCGGGGTAAGGGGCGTCTTGGGCCGCCCTGGAACGAGGTTGAGCCGCCTTGGGGCCGCATTCGAGCCAAGGCTGGACATCACGAAGTGCATGTGCGCCTTATCTTCCAAGGATGTTCCATGGTGGCTCTGGCCGCCCGAGGAGGTCAGAGGATGCGCGCGAGCTGCGTAGGCTCGGAAGAAGCTCGAAGGTACTGCGGAGCATGCCCCCAATGGCTGGCCTGGCCAGAGCACCCTCAGGCAGAACTACCCGACGACTCGCCCACTCAGACCGGAGCCGATCCGCAGAAGGGGAAAATGAAGAAGCGCATAGGCGCCTTATGATCCTGGGCGGCTGGCGCGGTCCCAGAGCTCTCTGAGGGATCTTCCCTCGGCAGACTCTTGGATACGGTTTTCGGCGTGTCTGAAAGCTCTTGGGGACCTCCTCTTGAGGCCTGCTTCGGGTCTCCTGGGGAGTCTGAAAGCCCCATGGGGGCCTGCTGGAGGTCTCAAGGATCCTCTTGGGGCCGTCTTGGGGCCGTCTTGGGGCCCTCTTGTGGCCGTCTTGATCCGTCTTCGGGGCCTCTTCGGCCGTCTTGGGGCCTTCTTGAACTGTCTGGGGGCCCTAGGGGGAACCTGTTGGGCCGTCTTGAGGCGATACTGGGGGCCTCTCGGGCCGTCTTGGAGTGTCGGAAGCCCGAAAAGGCGAGAACGCTAAAATCCCTCAAAAACCGAATGGAAACCAATTACGTTGGCCTTTCGGGGGCCTCTTGGGGGGCCTCTTGGAGCCCTCTTGGAGCCCTCTTGGGCCGTCTAGGGGAAGTGTTGGGCCGTCTGGAGGCTACGGCGGGCTGAAAAAAATTGAAACAAAAATCCTTGCCATCTCTTGGGAAGCCGATTTCTACTTCCGCCGGATTCCGCTTGCCTTCCGCCGGCTCCCGCCGGCGGAGGTGGCCGCGTTTTATTTCCGCCGCCTTCCGCCGACATTCGATTCTCGAAGGCGGGGCCCTTTCTTGAATGCCTTGTACTGGCGACCTTTTGGACAGTCTGTAAGCGTCTCGATCCATCTTGCACCGTCTTGCGGCCTTCTTCGGCCATCTTGGAGCGCGCCGGGGCCTGCGGGGCCGATTTGTACCCACTTGAGCACCATGCATTCTGGCACATGCTGCCCCCAGCGATAGATTGTATCAATGACGTTGGGCTCCAGCTTCGCCTCCCACATCTCGCTTAGCAGCGCCAGAGCCCGCTGCCACTGCTCGCCCTTCTCGCACGCGCTGATCCCAGCGCTGTAGCTGACGACGTTGGGCTCCACCTTCGCCTCCCGCATCTCGGTCAGAAGCACCAGGGCCCGCGGCCACTGCTCGCTCTTCTCACACGCGCTGATCCCGGCGTTGCAGCTGATGACATTGGGCTCCAGCTTCGCCTCCCGCATCTCGCTTAGCAGCGCCAGAGCCCGCTGCCACTGCTCGCCCTTCTCGCACGCGCTGATCCCGGCATTGTAGCTGACACGGGCTGACCCGTGGCCTTCGGCCACGACCAGCGCACAGGCGGCTGTTCGACGGCGTTCTGGAACACACGCGGCCACACTTCGATGCGACTCGTGACCTGCGGGCTCCCACTCACGCATTTCCCATGCTCTCTCGCGCTTAGCCGCCGTACGATCGCCACAAACAGATGGCCTCAATTACGTGCGACTCGTGGCTACCGAGCTCCCGCATGTGGCTCTTCCTTCTCCCTCCCACTTGCAGCACACAAGTGGCCACACTTCGTTGCGACACACGCTCTGCCAGCTTCCTCGTTCCTCTCCCCATGACCTCGACCTTTTGCATCACCTCCACATCTCCAGAGCTCTGGGAGCCTTCCCTCCCTGACATGCTAGGCTTAAGTCGGGCATGACATCCTGCAGGCGGAGATCGGACCAAAAAATGTAAACGACAGAAACTGCAAATAGTCAAACAAACAAACATACTTTTTGTTAATACTCCTCCTGTAGAGGGACAGGCCCAACTTAATGCTAGGCCACATTTCGAGCACACGTCGGCCCTGCAGCTGCCAATGGCCAAGACAACTCCAGGGGCGTGCATGCCCTCGAGGCAAGCGGGGGAGAAGCAGGATGCGGAGCACGACGTAGACTGCGACGCCGACGACGACGACGACGACGACGACGACGACGACGACGACGACGCCGCCAGGCCCCCGCCTTCTCGCATTCGCCCAGCCCCCCTGCAGCACCGCGTGAGGTTGTCTCACGCGCGCGGTAGGGCAGGGAGGCGGGGGCTTGCTGCTTGCTTGCTTTGTGCTTGCTTGCTGCTGGCGGTAAGAGCTCCTTTGCGCCAGCGTTAGCCCTGGGGAGCCTTGGCATCTAGAGCTTGTGCTGCGTCACGGGTCGCCCTTGGAAGCCTTGGCCTTCGGAGCTTCCTGTGCCACGTGGCCCCTCTTGGGACCCGCTTCGGAGCCTTCTGGGGGTCTCTCCAAGGCCTCTTGGCGCACTCTTGGGCGATTTGGGGGCTCTCTTCGGCCGTCCTGGGGGCGTCTTGGGCCGTCGTGGGGCTATGTTGAGAGTCTTGAGCCGTCTTGGAGCCCGCTTGGGGCCTCTCGGGGAACTCTTGGGGCTCTCCTGGGGCCAACTTGAGGGCCACTTGGAACTCTGTTGGGCCGTCTTGGGGCTATCCTGGCCGTCTTGGGGCCCTCTTGGGCCATCTTGAGGCCCTCTTGAGGACCTCTTGGGCCAACTTGGAGCGATCTGGCAAGGTCCTGGAGCCGTCTTGAGCCATTCTTGGGGCCAGAGTGCGAGAGCGTGAAAATCTAAAGGAAAATCCATGGTTATGGCAGCCTCGGGCCATCATGGGTGACTTCCTGGACCGTCTTGGGGGCTCCTGGCCTGTCTTCGGGCACTCTTGGGACCCCCTGGGGCTTGCTGGGGGTCCTCTTGAGCGTCTCGGAGCGGTCTTGGAGCCTTCGGGGCGCCCTCTTGAACATCTCCAGGCCGTCTGGGGGCCTCTGCGAGCGCTCCCGGAGGCTCGGGCCGCGCCCGGGAGCCGTCTGGCAGCCGCTCGATGCAGAAAGCCCGCGCGCGCTCGCCCCTGCGCTGCAGGAGAGGCTAGTGCTGACCCGTGGACTGCGTCCACCTGGCAGGGGAAATCAGCGGCGCCGCCAGGCGCACTGGACAGAAGCTGGGCCCCCTGCTCGACTACACGCAAGAGTGACCCTGGGTAAGAGTGACCTTTGGTGCGCGGCTTTTGGGCGCCGCGGGGGGACCAAACACAGGCGCGCAGGACGCTACTATCGCGTCGAGTTCGGCGATCGGGGGACCCCAATGGGCTCGCACCAAAGGTCACTCCGGCGAAAGGTCACTCTTACGTGCGGTCGACCTGCTCGCTTTCCACAGCTCGCTGGGCAGCGGGAGCTGCCCGGCGGCACCGGCGCTGTGCCCCTCGCCGCCGCGCGCGCGGGGGAAATCGCCAGCCACGGGCGCTGCGTGAGAGAGCGGGGAGGCAGTGTAGCCGGTGCTGCCGGTGGTCCAAGCACAATTATGTTGTGTGTTTTTGTGTGTTTTGTGTGTGTTTTGTGTGTGTGTGCTTTGTGTGTGTGTGTCTGTGTGCGTGCGTGCGTGCGTGCGTGCGTGCGTGCGTGTGTGTGTGAGAGTGTGTGTGTGTGTGTGGTGTGGTGTGTGGTGTGTGATGTGTGGTGTGTGGTGTGTGGTGTGTGGTGTGTGGTGTGTGGTGTGTGGTGTGTGGTGTGTGGTGTGTGGTGTGTGGTGTGTGGTGTGTGGTGTGTGGTGTGTGGTGTGTGTGTGGTGTGTGTGTGTGTGTGCGTGTGCGTGTGCGTGTGCGTGTGCGTGTGCGTTGTGCGTTGTGCGTTGTGCGTTGTGCGTGTGCGTGTGCTTGTGCGTGTGCGTGTGCGTGTGCGTGTGCGTGTGCGTGTGCGTGTGCGTGTGCGTGTGCGTGTGCGTGTGCGTGTGCGTGTGCGTGTGCGTGTGCGTGTGCGTGTGCGTGTGCGTGTGCGTGTGCGTGTGCGTGTGCGTGTGCGTGTGTGTGTGCGTGCGTGCGTGCGTGCGTGTGTGTGTGTGTTGTTTGTGTGCTTTTGTGTGTTGTGCGCTTTTATGTGCGCTTTGTTAGCAGGGCTGGACCCCAGTATTGTTTTTCCCCTCGCTGTCGTCTTGCTTCTTGTTCTGCTCTGCCTGCTGTCCTGTGCACCTGCCGCCCAGGACGAAAAGCACAAGGCACAGGCCGAGGCCCAGCAGAGCGGCGTCCATGCCCAGCCCCGGGTGTCTCGAGCGTCGCGCGCAAGAAGCTCCGGGTCGGCGCGCGCCCCTGCCCAGAGGGCGAGCGACATACAGTCGGGGCGTTGACCTAAGGAACCCTAAATAAGGAACGGGGCCCCTTTCTCCCATAAGTTGAGCTTCGATTCCCCATGGAAAACCACTGGAAAACAGAAGGCAGACTGTAGAACAATCAAGGAACACCGAGCCCCTCCCCAACGAAAAGGGTTCCTTCTGCAGGGCCCCGGCTGTACGCCGTGCGCTGGGGCGGCGCGTGCGAGACGCGGCCCGCGGCCGGCGCGCCGCGGCCTCGGCGCCCCACGTGCGGGCCGCGGGCACGCCTCGGCACGGCCCGCGGCACGGGCTCGGCTGCACGCAGGAGCGACCCTGGGCAAGAGCGGCCCTTGGTGCGCGGCCCGACGGGTAGGGGGCCACAAGAACCCTACCCCTACCCCCCACGATTTCTGAGGGGGAGGGTGGGGTTCACTTCGCTCGTGCCCTCCCGAAAGAAGTGAACCCCACCCTCCCCCTCAGAAATCGTGGGGGGTAGGGGTAGGGTTCGCTTGTGGCCCCCTAACGGGGGACGCGCGGGGGAGGGGGGGGGGGGGGCAGACATGGGCGCGCGGGCCGCTGCCATCGCACCGCCTTCGGCGACTGGGGCACCCCGGTGGGCCCGCACCGAGGGTCGCTCCGGCGAGAGGCCGCTCTTGCGTCTAGTCGCACTCGGCGCGGTCCGCGGCAGGGTGCGGGGGCCGCAGCGCCCGAGCCCCGAGGCGCCAGGCAGAGCGTGGCACGCCGCCCTCGCGCGGCATGTCGCCCTCGGCTCCGCGAGGGCTCAGACGCCGCCCCGCCGCCGACAGGAGGTCCCGCCCTCGCTCCCGGAGCTGTCGTGGAGCGCTCCCGGGCGGCGTCGAGGCTCCGATCGGGGCCTTTTGGGGGGAGTCTTGGGGCGTCTTGGGAAGATCTGGGAGCTGTCTTGGGCTGTCGTCGGGCGAAGTGAGGAGAACCCGGGAGTCCTTAAAAAATCGAGCAGGAACTCAGTGATGTCTGCCTCCTCGGGCGGTCTGCGTTGTGCTCCTGGGCCCTCCTGGGAGCTTCCTGGGAGCATTCTCTTGGCCCCTGGGGCGGTCTTCAGGAGATCTTGGGCATTTTGGAGCGCTCGCAAGCCGTCACGGAGGCGTCCTGGACTAGCTTGGGGACCGCGGACAGAATTCAGCACGGCAACTTCTCCGTGTGGGATTTCGTCCGCACCTCGCCGAGGACGCCGGAGCCGCAACGCAACGTTTTTGGACCCTCTTAGTTCCAAGGCCCTTTTCGCAAGCACATAAGCTTGCAATGTTGGTAAGACGAGGGCTGACCCGTGGACTCCGCCCACATCAGCCAGCGAGTGGTTGTCACTGTCCGCTTATTTCGGCTGCTTGCTGCTAGTGCTGCTTACGATCAGACTGCCTGCTTGTACGGGCTTATTGATTGCTTGCTGCTTGCCTGCTTGCTGGTTGCTGCTTGCCTGCTTGCTTTTTTGCTGCTGATTGCTGCCGAAAACTGAAATGGGGTTCTGCTGGGCCGCATCTGGACCGTCTCGCGCCTTCGTTGGGACGCCTTGGGCTACCTTGGAGGCCGGCTGGGCCCTCGGGGGGTAATGGAGGCGTCTTGGCCCACCCCAGAATAATCTCGAGCCGCGTTGAGGCCGTATTTAAGCCAAGGCTGGACACTGCGAAGCCCGAATGTGTGGGACTTCTTTTCCAAGGATGTTCCATGGTGGCCGTGGCCACCCGAGGAGGTCAGAGGATGCGCGCGGGCTGTGCAGGCTCGGACGAAGTTCGTAGGCACTGCGGAGCATGCCCCCAATGGCCCGCACAATCTGGAGCACTCCCAGGAAGCACTACCCAACGACTCGCCCATTCAGACCAGAGCCTATCCAAAGAGGGGGAGGAAATCGAAAGCGCATGGGCGCCGAATCTGAACGGGTGGCTGGCGCGGTCCCAGAGCTATGAGGGATCGTCCCTCGGAAGCCTCTTGCAGGCGGTTCTGAGCGTGCCTCGGGGCCTCTCGGAGGCCTCTCGGAGGCCGGATTTGGCCTCCTGCGGGCCTCCTGGGGCTTCTGGGGGGCCCCTTGGTGGCCTGCTGGCGGTTTCTGTGATCATCTTGGAGCGGAAGGCGCGACCCGTGGGTTCGAGTTCCCCCTCTTGGGGCCCTCATTTAGGCCGTCTTGGGCGTTATTGGGGACCTCATGGGCCGTGATGGGGCCCTCTTGGGCCATCTGGGAGCCCTCTTGGGAGCCTCCTGGGCCGTTTTTGGGCGATCTTGGGGGGCCTCTTGGGCCGTCTTGCAGCGTCGAGAATCAGAAAACGCGAGAACGCTAAAATCCTTCAAATACCTAATGGAAATCAATGATTTTGACCTCTCGGTGCCCTTCTGGGGAGCCTCTTGGAACCCTCTTGGGCCGTCTTGCGACCCTTTTGGGCCGCGTTTCGGGGCCCTCTCTGGCCATCTTGGAGCCCCCGGGGGGAGCCTGGAGCGCGCCAGGGCCGACCGGGGCCGGGTTTGGCTCTTTTGATAAGTTTTCCTTCTGGCACCTGGTCCCCGGGCGTTGTTTTCCTTCTGGCACCTGGTCCCCGGGCGTTGTCGTTTAGATGACATTGGGTTCCAGCTTCGCCTCCCACATCTCGCTCAGCAGCGCCAGAGCCCGCGGCCACTGCTCGCCTTTCTCGCACGCGCTGATGCCAGCGCTGTAGCTGAGCTGGCAGGTCAAGGTGTCGGTCCCAAACGAGCATGTGTCGCCGACGCCTGCGGGTGTGCTCTGGGGTTTGCTGCAGGCTCTGGGCTCTGGGGCTGGTGGCTGTCTTCGAGTGTCTTGGGAGGGTCTGGGCTATCTCGGAGGGGTCCCTGGAGAGTTCTTGTGGCATCGAAGGCTTCCCGCAGTCCCGTCTCGCTGCAGCCTCTTGCAGGAGGAGGCGGAGGAGGAGGAGGAGGAGAGCGGTACTGGAGATAGGGGGGAGTGCTGGCTCCCAGGGGAGGAAGGCCGAGGCAGAAAAAATAGGAGAAGGTCTCCTCGGCCACCCCTAAGCAGAAGGGGGGTAGGAGAGGAAGAGAGCAGTCCAGAGAGAGGGAGGTGCAGGCTCGCAGACGAGGAAGCCAGGGCTTTTTGTTTTTGCTTTCTTTTTTAACAATATATATATATATATATATATATCCAAAAAAACCTTGTCACCCCTAATCGCTGGGAGGGGGGGAGCGAAACGTGCTGGGGTGTGCGGGGGCAGAGGGGGAGGGAGTGAGACGCATGAGAGCGAGCAGGAGGCCGAGGAGGAAGAGAGTAGTAGTGGCTCTGGAGCGAGGGCGGTCTTCGGACTCTCGTGGAAGCCGTCGGAGACAGCAGAGGGTGCGGGTGCTGCCGCAGGGGCTCCGAGGGAGCTCCAAGGAAGGGGAGCCACGGAGGAGGATAATCAGGAGGCGGAGGAGGAGGAGGAAGAGGAGGAGGAAAAGGAAGGAGGATGAATGAGAGAAGAGAGCTGAACGGGGAGAGGAGGCTCGCTGGGCCTTGTTATGGGTAAGAGGCTGTGTTGAAGGCTGCCAGGGAGGCACAAGGGCGGGAGGCTCTCTTGGGAGCTCCATCGGAATCATCGGAATCTCTTGGGAGGGTCTGGGGCACCTCGGAGTGGTCCACGGCGTTCTGCTGGGCTTCTGGGGTTTCGAAGACGGCGAAAGGGTGCCGTGGAAGATGGCGCTCTGCTCAAGGCTCCTTGGCAAGTGTCGGAGTCTCTTGGGAGACTCTGGGGCATCGGAGTGGTCCTGGGAAGGTGTGGTCGCGACAAGGCTCTTGGCCCAGTGGGAGCTGCGGAAGGCCCGTCGTCTGGAATATCTTCGGACCCTCTGGGAGGCCTTGTGGGGGTCTTTCTGAAGCATCCCGGGCGCTTCTGGGGCCATCTTGCAGCGCCCTTTGGCCGTCGTGGGGGCTTGTAAGGACGTCCTTGGGCCATCTGGGGGGGCTGTTGATGTTAGGATTCTAGGGGCGTCTGGGGGCCATGTTGGATGATTCGGGCCGTTTGGGAGCCCGTTTTGAACCCTCTTCGGCAGCTCTTGAAGCCTTCTTGGGCCATTTGGGGGATCTCCTGAGCCGTCTCGGGGGCCTCTCGGGCTGTCCTGGGGCAGTGTTGGCGGTCTCGGGCCGTCTTGGATCCCGCTTTGGGACCTGTTGGGCAATGGGCTCTCTGGGGCCGTTTCGGAGGCACCTGGCCCGTCGTCGGGCCGTCCTGAGCTGCCATGGAGCTCCGTTCGGACTCTCTTGGGACGCCCTCGCGCCCTCCGGAGCGTCTTGGAGAGATGTTCGGGCTGCCTGAGTCCGTGTTGGAGCCACCCGGGGTGGTGCGACTCGCACGCGCAACGACCAGAACTGAAGCACAGACTAGTGATAACCCGTGGACTCCGTCCACGGAATCTTTCTGGAATGGTTCCCCGGGAAGCGGCGGGGATGCTGCCCAAAGGCACCCCCAGGGGACTCCAGGGGAACTCTGGGGCCCTCTTGGGGCCGACTCGGGGGGCACTTGGAACTCCATTGGGCCGTCTTGGGGCTCTGCTGGGGCGTCTCGGGGCCCTCCTGGGGGCATTTTGGGCCAGCTTGGAGCGATCCGGCAGGGTCCTCGAGCCGTCTTGAGCCGTTGTTGGTGCCAGGTGGCGAGGGCGCGAAAATCCTGGGGCCAGAGTGCGAGAGCGTGCAAATCGAAAGGAAAACCAATGATTATGGCCGCCTCGGGCCATCACGGGGGTACTCCGAAGCGCTTTCAAGCTCCTGGCCTGTCTTCGGGCGCTCGCCGGCCGCCCTGGGGCTCGCCGGGGGTCCTGCTGGGCAGTCGGGGGCGCCCTCCCGAGCGTCTCGGAGCGGTCGGTGGAGCCCTCGAGGCGCCCTGGGGAGCGCCTCCGGGCCGACTCTGGCCTCTGCGAGCGATCGATCCCCGAGGCTCGGGCCGCGCCCGGGAGCCGTCTGGCAGCCGCTCGATGCAGAGGCCCTTCTCGCACGCACGTGCTCCTGCGTTGTAAGAGAGACCAGGGGTGACCCGCGGACTGCGTCCGCTTGCGGGGACAACAGTGCCGCCAGGCGCGCTCGATAAACTTGGGCCACGTGGCCAGTTTGCACATCTCGCTGAGCAGTGGGAACGCCTGCTACCTGCTGCTGCTGCTGCTGCTGCTGCTGCTGCTGCTGCTGCTGCTGCTGCTGCTGCTGCTGCTGCTGCTGCTGCTGCTGCTGCTGCTGCTGCTGCTGCTGCTGCTGCTGCTGCTGCTGCTGCTGCTGCTGCTGCTGCTGCTGCTGCTGCTGCTGCTGTGCTGCTGCTGCTGCTGCTGCTGCTGCTGCTGCTGCTGCTGCTGCTGCTGCTGCTGCTGCTGCTGCTGCTGCTGCTGCTGCTGCTGCTGCTGCTGCTTGCTGTTGCTGTGTGCTGCCGCTGCTGCTGCTGCTGCTTGCTGTTGCTGTGTGCTGCCGCTGCTGCTGCCTGCTTCGTGTTTCGCGCTGCTGCCGCTCGGGTAATGGGGACGCATTGGCCCGCCACAGGATAATCTTGAGCCGCCTTGAGGCCGTATTAGGGCCAAGGCTGGAAATTAAGAAGCATCAGCATTGAGGGCTTATGTTCCAACGATGTTCCATGATGGCTGTGGCCGCTCGGCGAGGTCAGAGGATGCCCGCGGACTGCGTAGGCTCGGACGAAGTTCGAAGCCACTGCGCAGCATGCTCCCCGTGGCCGGTATAACCCGGGGTGCTCTCACAGAGAACTCTCCGACGAGTCGCCCATTCAGACCAGACGGAGCCGATCTTAAGGAGGGGGAGAAATTGAAGGCGCATGAGCGCTTGATCTTAATGGGTGGACGGCGCGGTTCCAGAGCTATATGAGGGATCTTCCCTCGGAAGCCTCTTGCAGACTGTGTCTTGCAGCCTCTCGGGGGCCCCTTGGGGCCTAATTTGGGCCTCTTGAGAGCCTCATTGGGCGTCTGTGAAGCCTCTTGGGGTCCTGCGATCTTAAAGGGCCCCTTGGGGCGTCGGAAGCCCGAGACGGCGAGAACGCTGAAATCACTCAAAAACCGATGGGATTATCAATGACTTGGGCCTCGCAGGAACCTCTTCGGGGGCCGCTTGGAGCCCTCTGGGGCCATCTTGGGGCCCTGTTGGACCGTCCGCCAGCCATATTGGCGACCTCTTGGGCCGTCAGGAGGCGTCTCGGGCCATCCTTGTTTTTTCTCTGGTCATCCTGGTCAGTCTTAGGTCGGGCGTGTCCCCCTACAGACGGATTCTGTAGGAAAAATAAGAGAAATGGTCGAAAAATATACAAAAAATGTTCCAAAATACTACAAAAAGTCGCCCCCAGACTATGATTTAACTATTGTGGAATTCTCCCCCTGTAGAAGAACATGCCCGACGTAAGGTCAGTCTCGAAGCCCGCTGGGGCCCGCCGGGGTCCGCCTCCGCTTGGGCGGTCTGGGAGCCCTCTTGGAAGCCTGCTGGGCCGCGCTGGGGCGATCTTGGGGGCCTCTTGGGCCGCCGTGGAGCATCGGGCGCCCGAGAAAGCGAGAACGCTAAATGCCTCGAAAACCGAATGGAAATCGATGACGTTCTAGAATTCCAAATCTGTTCTGGCCTCTCGGGGCCCTCGTGGAGGGCCTCGCGGAGCCCTCCTGGGCCGTCTCGGGGCCCCGTTGGGCCGTCCGAAACCATATTGGCGATCTTTGGGCTGCCTGGAGGCGTCTCGTGCCATCTTCGGCCGTCCCGGAGCCCGCCGGGGACAGCCTCGGAGGCCGCTTGGGCAGACTCGGGGCACTCATTGGGCAGTCCGGGGGCCTGCCTGGAGGCCCGGTGGGCCGTGCTGGGGCGATCTTGGGAGCCTCTTGGGCCGTCTTGGAGCCTCGGGGCCCCCCAAGAGCAAAAACGTCGAAGTCAGCGAGAGACCTAAGGAAGATCCATAATTTGAGCCTCTCGGGTTCTGTTGCTCCCATCGTACTTAAGGACCGCATCCAAAAAATTACTCCGGCGGAAGGACCCCACATGATAATCTGTTTAGCTTGCCCTTACCCTTTTCTTCCTCCCCCTGACGGACACTCTCCTCTCGCCCGCCGTTCTGCCCTCACTTACTCAAGAGTAATTACAGGTTGCCGATGACCCGCTCGGATTACCAACATGAAGTGCGGGACCCATAGGGAGGGGGCTCCTGCCTGAGACTTCCTCACAATTCACTCACAGACGAGGCTCCCGCTTGATACTTCCTCCAAATTCAGGCCTGAGGAGCCCAAAAGTGACGACAGTAGTTACAGGGTGCCGATGACCCGCCCGGATTACCAACATGAAATGCGGGACCCATAGGGAGGGGGCTCCCGCCTCAGACTTCCTCACAATTCACTCACAGACGAGGCTCCCGCTTGATACTTCCTCCAAATTCAGGCCTGAGGAGCCCAAAAGTGACGACAGTTACAGGTTGTCGATGACCCGCTCGGATTACCAACATGAAGCGCGGGACCCATAGGGAGGGGGCTCCCGCCTCAGACTTCCTCACAATTTACTCACAGACGAGTGAGTGCTGACGAAGTGATGAGTGAGTGATGATGATGAGTGAGTGAGCGATGATGATAATGATGAGTGAGTCAGTGAGTGAGTGATCGAGTGATGATGATGGTGATGATGATGAGGAGTGATGATGATGAGTGATCGTGCGATGCTGATGGTGACTGGTGGTGACTGGTGGTGACTGGTGGTGATGATGATGATGATGATGACGAAGTGATGAGTGAGCGTGTAGTGATGATGATGATGATGATGATGATGAAGTGATGAGTGAGCGTGTAGTGATGATGATGATGATGATGATGATGATGATGATGATGATGATGATGATGATGATGGTGATCGTGCGATGCTGATGATGATGAGTGATCGTGCGATGCTCATGGTGATGCTGATGGTGATGATGATAATGATGATAATGAGTGGGGAGTGATGGTGATGGTGATGGTGATGGTGATGGTGATGGTGATGATGATGATGAGGAGGAGGAGGAGGAGGAAGCAAGGAGGAGGAGAGGAGAGGGAGGAGGAGGAGGAGGAGGAGAGATCCTGCGCGAGAGTGTGCAGAGAAAACAAGAACACCACTTAGGATGTGGGGAACAATTTCGAGCACCCGGAAAAGTGTCGAAACAGTGTCGGACGAGTGTCTCCCAGGGCCCGCCGCGTGAAAACTCTCGAGCTTCGGTACTTTCCTGGTGCTCGAAATTCTTTCTCGCGATCGAGGCTAAAGTAGGCTGGAACATCATGACTCGCGGGACCCTTGCGGGACACCTCTCGGAGCGTCTTCCTCCCGCCCCCATGGGGCCGTCTTGGCCTCGGGAGCCGCCTCGGCGCCCTCTGGCAGCGGCTCGGAGCCGTCTCGGGGCCGTCCGAGGCCGCCTGGGGACCCTCCGAGGCCGTCGCACGGCGCCCCGCGGGCTCCAGGGCCGCCCCGGAGGGCCGCGGGGCCTCAATCGGGCGCCACGACACGGATGTAGGAGAGACTATGGGGCTGACACGTAGACTGCGTTCACAACATCTGCCCGAGTTGGCATGTGGTTGCGCGTTCCTGGGCCGCATCGGCCCCGTCTCGGGGCCCTCAGGGCGGCCTCTGGGGCCACGTCAGAGGCCCTGTTGGGCCGTCTTGGGCCCTGCCGGGCGGACTTGGGGCCCCCTCGGAGGTCTATTGGGCCGTCTTGGGTCGATCTCGTCGGCTTCTTGGGTCGCCCTGGGAATGCGGAAATGATCCGAAAACCATTTGAGAATCAATGGTTCTGCTGGTGGAAGCCCTTTCATAAGTCCGCTTAAATGAGTCTGGGGGCGTGTTTGGGGGTCCCACGGGCCATCTTGGGCCCCCTTGGGACGTTCTGCGGCTGTGTTGGAGCTCTCTGGGGCCATCTTTGAGCTCCCGTGGGCGGTCTGGCGCCGTTCTCGGAACATCTTGGAGATCTCTTGAGGCAGTTCTGGGCCGCTACGGGCGCCTCAGGGGGGGGCGTGCGCGCGCTGGGGCCAGTCAGGCCGATTTTTTATATTCTGTAGCGCCCAGCATTCCTGCCCACACTGCTCCACCTGAAAACAAGTGGCACGCGTGCTCTGGCTGTTGCACATATGAGGAGAGAAGGAGGAGGAGACGCAGATGGGGGATCGAGGAAACAAGGAGGAGGACGAGGAGGAGGAGGAGGACGAGGAGAAGGGGCAGGTAGGGCCAGGGCGCCCCAGTGCTGAATCAGCGGTTGTCGATTGGGACCTGCTAATTAGGTCTTGCGCCAGGTGCCGTGCCGACGCGGAGGGGGCGCGTTGGCTGGTGGGGCCGGCGCCGTGCCAAAATCAAGCTGTCAGGACGGAGGAGGTGCGCTGGCTGGTGGGGCCGGCGCCGAGGGGGCACTCTGGCTGGCGGGCTGGCTGCGCTGGCTGGTGAAGGAAGGATGCGGAGGGCCGGGGGGCTGCTTCGGCATGGCTGCTTTAGAAAGTGGATGCGAAGGGGGCGCGCTGTGAGGCGCGGGCCGAGGGGCTGCATCGACTGGTGCCGTGCCGAAATACAATCGTCGGAGCTCTTAGAGACCCTGTGCAAGAAAATGACAGAGTCGGGGCGGAGGGAGCGAGCTGGCTGGTGTTTGGGGCGGATGCGGAGGGGGCGCGCGGGATGGGGGAACAGGGTGCCGTGCCGAAATGAAAGGGTTGGGGCGGAGGGGGCGCGGTGGCAGGCGGGGTACCTACGGAAGGGGGCGCATGGGATGGGGGGAGGGGCGTGGCGAAATAAAAGGGTCGGGGCGGAGGGGGAGCGCTGGCTGGCGGGAAGGGGGATGGTGGTGTGGGTGCGGGGAGAGGGGTGGGAGTGCCGTGCCGAAATGAAAGGATCGGGGCGGAGGGGCACGCTGGCTGGCGAGTGGGAGGACGCGGGGGGGGGTGCCGCCCGGTAATGAATGGGGGGAGTGCCGTGCGAAATAACGGGGTCCGGGCGGAAGGGGGCGCGCTGGCCCCCCCCCCCCTGGGGTGGGTGGGGGGGGATGCGGAGAGGGTGTGCGGCGCCGAAATAAAAGGGTCGGGGCGCAAG